GGGGGGGAGGCATTGCTGCTGGAGGAGCTGAAACTCTGCTTGCCCATCCTCTGTGCTGCTCCGTCCTGGCCATTCTTGGCAATCTTTCCATGTGTGAATTCCATTAAGGGCCTGCTCACTGCTATTCTGGGCTGTGCATTAGCACATGGACTTTGATTTGATAGGGAGAAGGCCAGACACCTCAGGATGCTGAAAGAGAAATGAGAGCTGTCCTCTCCCGCCCCTCTAAGTCTGGAAGCCGCCCCACAGCTGCTGGGAGGCCTGAGAAGCTGATGGGAGGCAGGACCCTACCTAGGCTGTTAGGGTCTTGAACCTGGCTGTGCCCTCTCCTTGGAATTGCCATCTCCAGAGGCGCCTCATGCCTCCCTCCCTCATCTCCTTGAGGTCGCCACCCACCCCCAAGCCTTCCCTAACCACCTTTCCAAAAGGACACTTCCCCCACACCCTCTGTTTCTTCTGTCCCTGGGGGAATCCCACCCAACCCTACAGGGAGGGTTCTTGTCTTCTACCGCCCAAGAATGACCAGCACAGGCACAAAGTCTCCACGTGAGCTACTCGTGGCTGGAGAAGAGAGCCATGGTGGCTCCAAGAAGGGCCTTGACCATGTCTGCCTCATTGCTCCAGAATCAGGGGGTTTCAGGGTTTCTCAGCTTCCCAAAACGTGGCAGCGGATGGATACATATTGATTAAAATAGCGGAACAAGTGGGGCGATGTTAAAAGGGGACACAGCAGTTGTTCTCCAAGATGGCCTCTGCGTGCTAGGGCCTCTGGGACCAGAGGGCAGAATTTACGACCAGATAACTCAAATGCTTGCAGTGGTCTTTGGCATTTTTACCTGTGGGCGTTTTTACCAAGTATGTTTGGCACCTAGGTTTGCTGAAATACAACTGTAAATCGAGGGTGGTGCGCTCAACCTGCCCGTTCCTTCCAAGACGTGGGTTTAACAGTTCGGTGTGGTTTTTAGGCACTCTGCTTGCTTGCAAATTTCCTCTGGATGATTTCTGACATGTTTTAGCAATGGCCTCCTGCCATCCCTCCCTGCCTCACTTCCACCACCTTTGTCATCTGACACACCATGCCCTTTGTTTGTTTACTGTCTGCACCTCCCCACTCCAAAGTAGAAGCCCTAGAAAGGTTTGCTGCCAAGTCCATTCCATTCCAACTCATAGTGACGCTACAGAACTGCTCCTTAGAATGTCCAAGCCTGTAAATCTTTACACGGGTGGGAGAGGGGGCTGGGGGGAACGGCCTCGCTTCTCTCAAGGAGTGGCTGGAAGGTCTGAACCTCTGATCTTGTGGCTAGTAACCCTACACCTAACCTACTGTGCCTCCAGGGTCCTTCTATAAAGGCAGAACTGTTTGGCTGGCAGCTCTGTCCTCACTGGTGCAGAACCCTAGACGAAAGAAGGGCCCATGAACCCATTCAGGAGATGAGAACCAGAGCCTGGGAAATCACTCAGCGCTGGGCCTAGTTCCCCCCACCCCCCACCCCCACCCTCAAGTACCATGGGATTATTACAACTTGAACACAGCCATCTGAAAACTCAGGAAAGGCTCTTCCCTCCCCCACGCTGTTTGGGTTCTGGGCTCCCACGTATCATGAATGAGAGGCTTTGGGAAATAAACACACTAGGAAGTCGTGTGCAGTTGGAGTTCCGCTTGCTAACACATGTCCAAAAACAAAAAGCCCAATTTGGATGAAAATAGCAGGAAGCCATCCCCCAGGGGTACCTGATGAGGTCATATTGCTTGGCTCTGCCACTTCCATTTTGGTGAAGCCTCCTGCCTTCTGACAACCCGGCGAGGGAGGCCAGGAGCCACTTCCAGCTCCACACTGCTCTCCATGCAGAGCCGCAGACAACAGACCCACACCCACCGCTCTTCTCGAAACATCCACAATCACCACAGCGCCCGCCATCCTCACAGCCACCCAAGAGGTTAGTTACAGACAGAACCCCAAACCAAACCCACTCTGACTCATTGCGGTCCTATCCTGACGCTCTAGGACAGAGCAGGATAGGGCTCCCAGGGCTGTGAATCCTTATGAAGCAGACCTTTCCTTTAGGAAAGCACACCTTTTGTTTACGAAAGCACACCTTTTCCCTGCAGATCGGCCAAATTCCAGAAGATTCAGCAATCTGCGCAAAGCCCCACAGCTATTGTGGGTCTCTGATCTCAGACCCCGGCCACGAGCACAGACGATCTTGGTCCCAGCTCTCTGACAGATGTGCTGGGTGGCCTTCCACCACTTACACCACTGTGGCTTCAGCTGCCCAGTGGCTGACTCTTTAAAGCCTCCACAGGTCTTTCTTTCAAAGTCCCGCTGGGCTCTCCAACTCAAAGCTCTCATCCACGGTTAGCAGTGGTGCCTGAGCCGCTTGCCCCTCTGAGTCACAATGTCTAAAATGTAAACCATCTTCAGTTTAACTCCTTAGAAATGCTTCCAAAGTTTCCAAACTAAGAGGCAAGGATTGCAACTCAAGTCTGAGGCATCCTATCTGGTCTGCCCAATTCCTTCAGGATTTGCTCACAGTATCAACACTGGAGCCCTGGGGATGTAAAGGATTGTTATGTGCTGGTCTGCTAATCACAAGGTCAGCAGTTCAATCCCACTCTTGTTCCTCTCAGCAGGAAAAAGATGAGGGTTTCTACTCCAGTGAAGATGTACAGCCTCAGATAGTTCTATAGAGTCCTTATGAGTCAGAATCAACTTGATGGCGGTTGGTTGGTTGGTTGGTTGGTTGATCAGCACCACCACTTAGGTTACCTAAGGAAACTTAAGGGTCATTTGCTCCACATAGGACAAAATGGGACAAATGAGACTCAGGGCTGGGGCCAGGAGAAACAGAAGGAGGCCCTGGGCAGCTGTCAAAAACAGACCCTCTCCAGACGAGAGGAAGGCAGTCCCTGGAGAGAATCAGGGCTAGGACAGCCGACGCCATCTGGGGGCCCAGCCGGTCAGGTCGGTTCCAGAGAAGGGAGAGTAGATTGCTGGACTGGCGGTCCTCACAGGAGGAGACCAGCAGAGGACAGACGGCACGCCCATCTATCTGGCAGCCACATACCGGAAGCAGAGGGAAGACACAGATGAAGATCATTCCTGTACATACTCTTGAGTTGCCCTCACACACTTCGGACACCGCCCACTCTCCTTTGCAAGTGTCTGAAAAGCCCAAATTTGGAGTAATTTATATGCTCCCTTCCCAGCCCAGAGGAGCAGCCATTCCATCCTTCTGGATATGGAGAGGCCCTTATCCATCCCTTTCTTGGCAGTGATGCGTTCTATTACTCATCTGCTTCCAGAGGTTCCCAAGGCTGCCAAGAGGAGACAGACGCTCTCCAAGCCACAAAAGCCTTATCTGTGATGTCTGTGTAGCCAGAGGAAAGCAGGACCATGGGTGGGGAAATACCACAGGACTTCAGTCCCGCTGGCCCAGGACAAAGAGACCTTCAGAAGCCAAACAAATTGGGAGCGGCTCCAGAACAAGAAACCGAGGTAGCCGTGCGCTGGGCTTGCACACCTGCTCAGTAATGGGAATCCAGGTACAGCGGTGCCTGGTGGCAAATCAGTGCGGGCACACAGTGGAGCCAGGCTGCCACCCAAGACGAATGCGGTTAGGAAAGAGGAGGAAACAGGCCCGGCAATCAGGAGACTGCTGACAATGCCCTTAGTGATGGAGTTTCCCGGCTAGCTAACCAGGGACACAGAGCAGCCCAGGTCGGGGGCTCCAAACCCCAACCCACTCTGCCTGGCCTCTCCCCTCAGAGTGATTTGTCTCTCAGCCCCTTCACTTCCTGCCATGCGATGGATTGCAGCTAGGAAGACAGCTGCCCAAGTCCCCCAGTCCATCCCTCCCTTAATTTCTCTCTCTGTCTCTCTCTCTGACACACACACACACACACAATTAGCCCTGCAGGCCTGCAGGAAGTTCTAAAGTTCTAGAAACACAGCTGAAGGAAACTTGTTATGATGCTACATGCTGATTTCACCAGCAATCCAAGAGATGGTGTTTTTGCAAAAATGCTCTTCCCCTAAGCCCAAGGACTGCGAAATTAGGGTCACTCTGCAAACTGCTTCCTTCCAGAATAGTGACACCTGCGTCCGGCATTTGACGTGAGGCCACAGCAGTTCATTGTTCCGTTTTAGACAAAGGAGGGTCCACTTACTCATTCTTCTCCAGGTCCAGGAGCAGTTCTCGGCCCTCCGCCATCACTCTGAGCTCAGCCTTACGAGGGTGCTGGAAGTCAGGAGAAAAAAAGGTCAGTCCCCACCCAGTGGGGCCAAGGCACAGTGCAGACACTGGCCCCCAGGAAGGGGCCAGAAAGGGTCAGCTGCATTTCCAGCCCAAACATGAAGTAACCTCAAGCCCAGCCAGCCAGCTCCCCTCCCCCCACTTGGCCTCTCCTGGAAGACAAAGGAAAGAAGCTCGGGGATGACATGCAGTGCATGTCCGTCTGTCTGTCTGTCTGCCAGTCTGATGAAGGAGTACGATGCTCTTAGACAATCAGTGCTGTATGGAGTCCAAGGCTGAACTCCTGGAACTCCAGTTCTGATGGAAACTCCCAACATCTCGGTCTCCTGGTTTATAATCCAGAACAACAACCAAAACGCACTGCCATCGAGCCGGAGCCACCTCACAGTGACCCTACATGACAGGGCAGAACTGCCCCTGGGAGTTTCCGAGAGTGTACTGTTCCTGGGAGTTGAAAGCCCCATCTTTCTCCTGAATAATACAGAGAGAATAATAATGGTCAACCTTAGAGATCTCAGGAGCAGTCCATGGAAAATGCACATAAAGCATTTCTCTCCCTGCCTGGCCATGCTTAGCTCTGGTCTCATAAAATCACAGGGTCTTGCCTCTGCATCATGCTGACCTTATTTTATTTCATCCCTTGCTTTGAAAACCCCCAACTCTTTCAGAGGAAACAACACAGAACATCTCAAATGCAGGGCTCAAGAAACATTTACATGCAAGAGAGGACAGGCTGGCCCAAGTGGCTACATTCTCAGAATAGGTTACGCAAGACGTCACACAAGCAGCCATCAGCAGGAGAAGCATGGTGCACATCCAGCCCCTGCTTCCCTGCCTCCCCACAATTCTTATAAAGACACCTCTAAAAAATAAAGATGGTAATGCTATTGTAAAACAAGAAACAACCATAAATCACAATGCAGCCGAGCATCAGATAAAGCAGGTGCTGCCACAGCTAACCAGGGAGAACTGAAATGGGTGCGAACTCTAAGGAAAAGGTCCCACCACTTTCAAACGTTTGTACTCTTTGACCCAGTAGTATACAGCCGAAGGGAACAAGCAGAAGCTCAGGCAAAGACTTATACACACGTGTGCTCATTATTTATAATAATGAGAACTTGGGAGCAATCTAAATATCCAAAAATAGCCAAATGGTTAAATAAATAACAATTCGTCCATATGACAGAACTCTAAATAGTCATTAAAAATGGGTAACTGAATAACTTTAACATTCTTGAGAAAGTATATCTAATAAATATGAAGCACAGAGTTTCAAAACATAACCCTGTATATTTTACATATTTTATATAAATAGACTTTTGGAAAGAAGCCCCGGAGGCTCAGTGGGTTACACACTGGGCTTGTAAGCACAAGGTTGGTGGTTCAAACCCACCAGCCATTCCAAGGGAGAAAGGTGAAGCTGTCTGCTAGGTCCAGAAACCCTTTGGAGCAGTTCTACGCTGTCACACAAAGTTGCTATGAGTCAGCATTGACTCTGTGCCGTGGGTGGTGGGGCACACTTTGGGGAAAGGAAGAAGGGAGAGGAAAAGTGCACCCAAATGTTATCACAGTTCTCGAGGCAGTGGGATCATTAGTTAATTTCTTTTCTTTTTTTGTATTGGTCCATGTTTTTATAATTGGGTATATGTTTTAAGAAATGGGCTCTTATCCATTTTTACCTATGTATTACAGTAAATTCCAAACAAATTAGAAAAATGAATAAAATAAGAAAAACGTTATCCTGATAAGCTTTATCGATGTCAACTTAGGGCTGTTGAGCTTTTAAAAAAGGAAAAAATCCAGATTGTCCTCACCACCACAAACATATTAAAGCACGTTCCATCCCTTGGGGCGGGGACGGAGGGGTTTCTACTTTGAGCTTGATGATTTGAAACCAAGAAACCCATGAGCCCTTTAGTCCACAAAAGCCTCCAGTTCAAGTCGACCTCACAGCCTCACTTCGCTGTGTCTGAGAAAGAGGGTTACCTACTTGGCTACCTTTGAGTGGGGCTTGCCTCTGCCAAACCCATCTCCCTTCTAACTTGCTGCAAACCCCACTTCTGATTAGCATTCAGAGTAGAAATGCAGAGAAGTTCAAGCCACCGAGGACTCTAGGACCTGAATGTCTTAACCACAGTTCTTGGGCAACGATGGCCATTGCCTAATTCATCTTCCTACCTCGTCTTGAGAAGGAGCACTTCAAACCCCTAGGGCAGCGGGTAGAGAGATGCTTGCCCAATAAGTTTCACTAAGAGATTGACTTCCCTGATTCTACGCTTATTCTGGAAGGCACTTTCCACGGGGTGTTCAGAAGGCACTCTGCTTAATCATGTTAAGCCCCAGGGACACAGACCCACATGGGCATGTGAGAAAGAGAACATGGTAACAGAGCCACAGTGGCAAATCCCTTATCCCTATGTAGGTGGCTGTGACCACCCACATAGAAAAAAGAATGTGACATAAATCAAAGCACTGTCACCTCTCCCCAGAAGAGACACAACTGCAACATGAGTACTAATATTTATTTTCAAATGGGCAACCAAAAATATCTCTCCTTAGTCTGGAAGGTGCTAGACACTGATATGACATGATTCCAGGAGGCATTGCAAACAAAACGATGAAATAGCACTTTAAAGGTCTATGCAGCCACCCTGTCCCAGCTCTCCTGAATAGCTTTTCTCTTGCAACATCATTCCCTGCTCAGGAGGAGCAGCATCACCTCCCAGGGAATATAGAAAGTTGGTCCGCTGCTTAGATTTTTCATAGAGAAGAGTCGTAGCCAGGGGGTCTCTAAGGAACTGCAAGTAGGGAACACTTGGGTGGCGGCTGGGGTGTGAGTGATGTCATGAGGAATTGCCATCATCAGTTGTAAGAGATCACTCAGCAGTTTCAATCTAATTGACACAGGTATTATTTCCCTTAGATAACCTACCTCTTGTTCAAGCCTTACATGGCCGGAGCACATGGATGCACACTTGACTGCTAACTAAAAGTATGGAGGTTCAAGTCCACAAGAGATGCCTCAGAAGAAAGGAATGAAGTTCCACTTAAAAAAAATAGCTATTAAAAAGTCTGTGGAGCATAATCCTACTCTGACACATAAGGGATCACCATTAGTCAGAATCCGGTTAGTTGGATGGATCCAAAAAACCACACAAACGTCCATCTAGTCAATTCTGACTCATAGGAACCTGATAAGGCAGGGCAGACCTGGCTCCTGGGTTTCCGTGTCTATAAGTCTTTATGGGAGTAGGTAGCCTCATCGTTCTCCCTCGGAGCGGCAGGTACTTTTAACATTGCAGTTAGCAGCCCAACACTCAACACGCTATACCACCAGGCTCCTTAGAGGGTTGGGTGGGTGAAATGTCCTTTCTCCTTATGCGTAGATTCAGCAGATCTTCAGCTCCGTACCTACCTACTACTGCCATCGAGTCAATTCTGCCTCAGTGACCACAGAGTACAGAGTGAAACGGACCCACGGGGCTTCCAGGCCTGTACTTCTTTACAGAAACAGACTGCCTCACTGTTCTCCCTAGAAGTGGCTGGAAGATTCACACCACCAAACCTTTCATTTGGATCCCAACACTTAGCTTATTGCACCACCAGGGTACAGTCTGTAAGTCCACCCACCACTCACTGCCATTGAGTCGGTTCTGACTCAATAGCGGCGCTACGGGACAGAAGAGAAGAGCCCCTTTGGGTTTCTAAGACTGTAAAACTGTGGGAGCACACAGCTCCATCTTTCTTCTGCTTCAGGACTCTAGGGGACTGGAAATTGATCAAATGCACCTGCCTTCCCTTATTATCCCATACAAAAGCTAGTATACAGTGATTGTTGGGTTAATATTTGATAAACGAATAAATGGATCACATAAATGCAAACAAGAGCCCCACATGAGACCCAGATTCTACTGATAACTCTCTGGCGTCCATTCGTTTGTTCATTCAGCAGATATCAAGGACGCCAGGCATGGTGCTCCCAATTCCAGGAGGACAAGAACCCATGGTCTTGGCAGACAATGGGTGGGAACAAAAACAGGAACTGGCCCCACTTGGTCTCTCAGGCCCTTCCTGAGGATGCCCAGCAGCCCCCATCTATAAAAAACATCAGATAGATCCATTCCTTGGGCAATAACGGATAGGCTGAAATACACAAGATCTCTGGTTTGGTGTTGTTTTTTTTGTTTTTGTTTTGTTTTGTTTTCAAAAAATAACCTGCTCTAGGAAGATAGCCATCCATTAATTTGTCTAGACTTTTCCTGCAGCTATTTTAAGACCCCTCCCCTTTTTTGGTGAAATGAATTCCATCCACGTATTGTCTTTTGGACAGAATGTCACTTCCATTTGTTCTCAAATGTTCACCACGTTCCCTTAGCAAATGCAAGCAGGAGCCTTTGGGGACATATCTGCATAACTCTAGCTACATCTTCAAAACTTGCAGGCATTTTTTTCATTGGCATTCCAGACTTGAGAACCAGACTGAGGGCTGTCCTGACAGCTCTCATCTTGTGCTTCCACTGCAATCTTGCTCCAAAGTGTTGCCTAATAAATCACAGACCTTTTGAACTAGGAACCACCCTCCACTCCAGCTCTCTTACTCCTTAGTCCCTGTGAGCCCCGTTCCAGAGATGAAAAAAAAAAAAGTTCAAAAGGAGGAAGCCTCAGGAAAACGAGGGGGCTGGGGAGAAAGAGCACAGAACTGATTACTAGTACACACCACCACATCTTACACTTTCTCCCAGCTTTTTCGTTCGTCACTTGAGGGACGGAACCCCAAACTGCACAGAATAGCCTCGGTGCACAGATCCAGTCTATGAAAATAAGATAATCTTCTGTCTGGTTCCCGATTCCCTTGAAGAACCCTGTGCTTTCCACTCCTATCCTGGTCCGAGCAGCCTATTGCATTTCATGCCACATTTCCCAGTATCAGCTCCTTACCCTGCCTCTGATAAAAAGAAAAAATTTAAATATGGTGTGAATAGGCATTGCTCTAAGTGCATTATCCCATCAAGAAAATGAAGCCCGCATTATGCAGAGCAAAAATAACAATTACAATATTTAATCCATTTCAGTTGATGATAGATGACTGTGTCCCACCATCACATTTGCATTTTGCTTCTGTCAGCATCAAGGTGATTTATTTTCTTTAATAAATGTTTCCCAGCTCATAGCACTGGGAAATGCCCTAGAAGTTTGTCACATAAGGATGGAAAACCCCACCTGGGATTCCCAAAATTCACAGAGAGGACAGAGGAGGCCAAACACAACTACTGGACTGACTGGGCTTCCAGGGAAGGTGAGTGGATGGCCCCAAGCTTCCTACCCAAACAGCAGAAAGTGAGAGTTTGAGCCTTACCTTTTCTCTCATGAAGTTTTCTGTCGTCTTCCACTGAGGTATTATCGTTTCATGCTGCAGCTGTGGGCTACCTTCCTCTCTTCCTCCTGCCAACACAAAGGCACAGCACTGGAACCTCAGATGGCCACACCCTAACGAAGCCGAGCATGCATCTGCCAGGACAAGCACTACCAAGTGGGAAGGACTCGATTCTGGGGCTCTAGAGGACCGGCTGGCTTCCTGGAAAGACTAAGTGGTTGGTGGCACCTAGTATGGGCCAGTCTCCAAGGTGTGGGTAATACTGAGGCAAATAGGGACAAGGGGGTAAACAGCGCTCAGGAACTTTACCTTCTGGAGGGGCTAATAAAACAATCCACCCATTTTCTCAGGTAGCGCTAAGTGCCTTGAGGACAATAAAACAGCATCAAGGAATAAAGAAAATAGGGGGGGGGGGTAGCTATTTAGAAAGAATAGTTAGAGAAAATGCTGGGCTACTAAGACCAGAAGGGACAAGAGGCAGCCATGCAGAGATCTGGGGACTGAGTGCTCCAGGTGGGGGCCCACAAATGCGGTGGCCCTGCCTGAACAGAAGTGGACTTGGCCTGTTGAGGGAACTGGGACAAGTCCGAGATAGTTCTTAGCTGCCATGAAGTCGACCCCAACTCCTGACAACCATAAGCACGATAGACCAAAACTGCCTGGTCCTGCGCCAGCCCCGCGATCCATGGGTTTGCACTGGCTGATTCTCAAAAGTAGATTGCCAGGTCTTTGTTCCTAGTGTGTGTGTTAGGTGGGTTTGGCTCAGGGGAGTATGCAAGCTTTCACTG